TAGGGGTGGGATCCATTGACTTGGGCATTGTGTGACCAACTAGCAACCAGCCAGAATCATAAATTATCCCCTGACCATTACTCTTGTCTTGTAGATCTGATCAAGGGCCGACTCTACTGGGTGGATTCAAAGCTGCACATGCTTTGTAGTGTAGACTTGAATGGAGACAACCGCCGGAAGGTGCTACAGTCACCAGACTACCTGGCCCACCCTTTTGCCCTTACTGTTTTTGAGGTACAGTACACTAACTAGATCAATTACAACTGCCAACTAAAACTACAGCTACAATTCTCTCTTATCCCATCCCAGGATCGAGTGTTCTGGACAGACGGTGAGAATGAGGCCATCTACGGCGCAAACAAGTTCACAGGATCTGATGTAACTATGCTGGCCAGCAACCTCAACGAACCCCAAGACATCATTGTGTACCATGAGCTAATTCAGCTGTCTGGTGTGTCCCGAAATTATCTAGAACAAAAGCAACAACCCACATCACTCAGACTACTGTTTTTTTTATTATATTTTTGATGTTTTGCTGATTCTGTGACTCAAAAGCTACTACCTTGTGTGGAAGGAATGGAAACCTTAAAGGGATAGTTGACCCAAAAATGAAAATTCTGTCATTAATTACTCGCCCTCATGTTGTTCCAATCCCCTAAGACTTCCATTCATCCTTGGAACACAATTGAAAGTATTTTCAATTAAATCAGAGAGGTTTCTGTTCCTCCATTTACAGCCTCAGCAACTTTCACTTCGAAGGTCCAGAAAGGTAGTAAAAACATCATGTAAAGTAGTCCATGGTACTCCAGTGGTTCAACTTTAATTTACTGAAGTGAAGGGAATGATTTTTGTGTGCCAAAAATTTAAATAACGACTATATTCAACATTTTCTTCACTTCCGCTTAAATCTCTAACGCGCATTCACGAGAGCTGCTTCTTCTCCGGTCCATGAGAGCATCGCGACGCATGCGTGTTGTGTTGACATGAGTCGTGCTCTCGCATCAAGTTGAACCACTGGAGTAACATGGACTACTTCCATGACCTTTCTGGGCCTTCAAAGTGGAAGTTGCTTAGGCTGTCAATGGAGGAACAGAAACCTCTCGGATTTAATTTTAAATATCTCTAATTGTGTTCTGAGGATGAACGAAAGTGGGAAGGGATTGGAACAACACGAGGGTGAGTAATTAATGACAATTTTTATTTTGGGTGAACTATCCCTTTAAAATCTTATTTTATCTTGAAGAGTATGGCGAGATGTTGGCAGTAACCAGGTTTTGTTGCCTTCTCAAAACAGGGACCAACTGGTGTAACGAGAAGATAGAGAATGGAGGCTGTTCCTTCATGTGCCTGCCAGCTCCACAAGTTAACAAACATTCTCCTAAATTCACCTGTGTTTGTCCGCAAGGTCAAACACTCACCTCAGACGGCCTGCGCTGCAGACCAGGCACGTAACAGAAACATCTCTTTGTAACAGAAATCAATGCATTGCTGATCAAGCTTTCATTTGCATTGTTACATTTTGTGTGTGTGCGTGCGTGTCATCCATTTTTGTCATTCATGAATCATTGTTGATGGTCATCTTTGGCCAATGTTTTGACTGCAGCGCTAGAATCAAGTTGCACAAGTTCCTTAAATCTAAGAATGTCATTTTATTGCTGCAGCTCTGTATTGCTCTCTTATGACAGAGGCACCTACAGCTATCCCTCAAGATGTAGGGAGGCTGACCCCTCACCCCAGTCACCCCAAAGGTAAAGCAGTTACTAGGATGTTAACTGCATGTGCATGGCGATCAATGCCTTTGATTTGCTTCCCGCCATAATGATAGTTGGCTTCACAACCGAAGTCTGTAGAAGCGGCACATGTTAACATTTCCTTCAAGCTTGCGACTGAGGTAGGCTGATGGGTGTGATGGCTAACCTGTTAGTAAAATCTCTACTGTGAGATTTTGGCTACTTTAGTGCTAATCCCTCCTAATATGAGCACATATTGTGGGGTATTTAAATATTTTTTACATTTCTTGAATTTCTACTGGCCGCAACTGAGATCTTCTGCTTAAACTCTAGATGACTGCCGTAAGTCTACAGATTGTTCTACATTTAGCCTATATCATTGACTTTAGTTGGATTATTTGTAGCATGCATTTTGATATATGTGAAAAATGGAAAAGGAGCCTCCAGTGTTTATACTCATAAACATAATTTTGTTTTAAAGCATCTGCAGTACCAAAGGTTGCCTCTGAACCAGTTCGGGCTGGTAAGGCTAGTTGCCTCCCATATACTACTATCTGTAACTGTAGTCTTTAACACTGCCATTTAGGATAGAAAATCCTACCCATTCTAAATAACAAGACTGGAAATAGTGGATGTGAAGTGTTTGTTTAAGAAATTCCATTCATCCTTTTGTTACTGCTTGTCTGCTTACTACACCCTCATATCCAAACTTCATTTACACCATTACTCAAAGATTATTTTGCTTTGCCGACTCTTGATATAGTTTGTTTTATAGTCTTTTACGTCTTAATTTTTCAACCTTTTTGTTTCCTTTAACCATTAGAAGGAAATATAAGCACCTCGATACATGAAGTAAATTCATCTGCCAAAGGATCTGCTGCTGCCTGGGCTATTCTTCCTGTGTGTAAGTACATTGCTTCTGCTCCTGTAATATGATGTTCACAGTTGTGTTATTTATGATCTATACATCTGTGTTTGTTAGTTAATTCAAATTGGAACAATTTATATACCTCATGAAATTATTCTGTTTTCTATGTATTTTAGCTTCAGAGTCATCTATATGCTAGTGTAGTCCTAAAAGTTTGACTAATCTTTAGAAGATTAACTAAAATATTGAAAACAGGAAGTTTGGGCATGTGACACAGGAAAGAAAAATGCATTAGTCAGGACATTTTTCTTTGACGTTTCTTTTACATATTTGCTGGAACATTTTCACTGTGCCTACAGTCCAGTTGTTATAGAGTTATTCAATTCATTGTTCTTTGCCTGCAGTGTTATTGGCAATGGCTGCTGTGGGTGGTTACTTAATGTGGCGCAACTGGCAGATCAAAAATAAGAAGAGCATGAACTTCGATAATCCGGTGTATCTGAAGACCACAGAGGAAGACCTCAATATTGATATCAGCAGGCACAGTGCTTCTGTAGGCCACACGTACCCTGCTGTGAGTAATGCATAATCCTTATCTGTGGTTTCAGATTAATGAAACCATAGATTTGTCATCTACCTCATTGTTACATACATTAGAAATATGGATTGTTTTTTCTTTTCTTTTGAGCAATCATCTCTGCTATGCCATAATGCAGTTAGTCCTGGGATTATTTGGTTGTGGCAAGTTGCTCTTATTTTATGCCAGACAAATGCTTAGTTTTTTTAACGGGCTTTAATGCATCCCTAATTTTTTTTTGTCTTCTTCCTGCAGATTTCAGTGGTAAACACAGAAGATGACTTGTCATAACCTAAGCACCCATAATGCTCCAGTTTATTTATTAGCCACTTTGCACCAATGGCAACTGCTGCCGTTTCAAAGGTTTCACAACCACCTGCCTTCTGAAGTGCATTTCCAAGTTTCTTTTTTTTTCTCCAATAAGAGGATGTCATTTGTGGTACGAGAAAGTATTTGCACCCTGCTCACACTGAGCGTGCTCCAAAAGCATCAGGGCCTGAGTTTTTACCTTCACGTTCACCATAATGGCCCCAAAATGATTCAACAGCCTTAATTCCTACTTACAAGGATGACGGCATAGCTGGAGACCCAGAACGCTGATTATAGATGGCCAGTAGTGTGTGTGGATGCCTGAAATATTTAAATGAAAATGCGTATTTTAGGTGGCCAGGTCTTTAAGATGTACGTTTCTTTCTTTCCTGTTTTCCTAATGAACATTATTTTCCAGAGATGCATTATTATGAAGGTTTGTGTGTCTTTCTGGGTTTAAAAAAGCTCTAGGAAAAAGTGCTGTTACAACATTTGTAAAACATTGTATATATCCCTCTCTGGAAAACATAATCAGGATTCCTCAAGCACTTTGATCAAATGTTCCTCTGTAAATAAGATTGTATACATTTTTGCTATGGTTGGGCACTGTACCAGGGTAGAGGAAAATGTATTGAAAAAAAGTTTGTTAAAACTATTTTGTATGTTTGTGTGCGGTTTCTGTGACCTTTTATAGCAGTGTACAGGAAAACAAAATGCTCTGTATTGTGAAAAGGAAACATTTGCAAACGTAAAATAAAATTAAAGTTTAAAGTTTCTTTATTGGTCAAAATGAAAGTTAACCTTGCGCTTGAATATTTACTTAATTTTTATAGGCTTATTTGAGACTAAGTTAGGGTAACGGGGTAGGATCTGAGCCAGACTCCAACTCTGGTCGCCTGCACATAATGCTACACTGAAATCAGAATGATAGCATTTTTAGGCACTCATGTAATTACCATCAATTCCAGAATTACTAGTAAACTCTAGACTTTCTTTAAGCCCCAACATTTTCAGTTGGGTGTCAATTAATCATCATGATGCAAACTGATATTTATAACTGCATATTCGCAGTGGCAGCACGAACGTAATGAAATGTGCAGGTGTAACATCAATTACAGCTGAGTTCACATTACAATTTTGCTGTCTGAGATCTATTTCAGGGATTGTAAAAGATTTCTCCTCTTGTACAGCAAATTCAGCAGTCATCATGACCTTCACAACGACCAATGAATTTGCGATAAATATGATGTATATAATACAGTATGCGCCTGTGTTAGTGTTTTCATTTTTTCATACTAGAACTAAAAATAGCTTCCTGTCTTTGGAAGTGAGAAAGAAGTTAAACTGCCTAACATGTCACTTTATTCCAACAAAAAAAGCACTTTTATTACAACCTCTGAACTCTCCAGTAGGACATTCCCAGGTAGACCCAGGTAGACTCAGTGATAAAGTCGACATGAAATGAAGTTGTGATAAGCTTTTTTTCCCCTATTGTGATGTACATTAGTCAACATTTGGAACAAGTGGATCAAAAAAAGTTAATCAAAGTTGTCCTAAGACAAAAACGCATTTTGGTTTTGACCTTTGATCAAAGGTTTTGATCCACTTCAAATGTCGACTACTGTATATCCGAGTGAAGCAGCTTCTCGAACGAGAAAAAATGTTAAAGGACTTAATTTTGACCATCTGCAATTGATTGGACTGTTGGCATTTGGTATTGCTGTGATCTCATGTGAGTGACAAGTTGTTGAAGGGGAGGTTTTAATGCCAGTACACGTCGTCAGAGAAAAAATGTCGTTGCAAGGGGGAGTTATTTTGATTAAAAAAAAAGTGGTGGTTCAAATGGCAAATAGTTAGAATGTGGTCTGATGTCCCATCCCTTTGCAAAATGGCTCTCATGCATATTCCACATTATTTGGTGTAGGGTATGTCAAAAGACTTGTAGATCAGTGGTTCTCATCTCCAGTCCTCGGGACCCACCACACATTTTGTATGTCTTCCTCATTCAACACACTTGATTCAGATCATCAGCTCATTAGGAGAAAGGTCCATTTACTGAACCAAGTGTGTCAGATAAGACAGACATTCAAAATTTGCAGCGCAGTGGGTCCTCTGGACCAGAGTTGAGAAGCACTGTTGCTGTGGTTTACAAGCCAGATGGTGTAATATCTTCGTATTCTGTTGGAGGTTGGTGAATGTACGGCAATGAAAGACATCAGGGTTGGTAGAGAGAGTCTGGGAGAGGATCATAGTATTTAAACCTTTAAGCACTCAGATCCTCGCTGTCAGCAACATTAGTCGATGCTGCTTCCTGCAGTTGCTCAGGGGTCTGACTCGGAGGTATTAGAGGCATCTAATGCATCTACACCCCCAGTAACCTGTGCATCTGCCAGGCTGAGAGGACGCTGGCACCATGATCAAGCTTACAGGCAGGAGGCAAAGCCTTTTCCCCAACTATAAACTTGGGGTCACAGTCCCTGCTCCCAAGGATCCAGAGGACTCTGAGCTTCCTTTCGGTCAACGCAACTGGGTAAAACCATGGAATTCGATGCAGGAATTAAGTAAGGATATATATGACATCTATGCAGAGTATGATGATGAAGAAGAGGATAGACTGATGTCGACTCCTAGTAAACTGTCCTCTCTGACTAAAAACTACATGCTGAACATCAACGTTGGAGGCAAGGTCTACCAGATCTCTTACAGGGTAGCAGCAAAATATCCCAAGACAAGAATTGGACGACTAGCAACGTATACTGACCACAACAGGAAACTTGACCTCTGTGATGATTACACTGTCCAGAACAATGAGTTTTTCTTTGACAGGGATCCAGACATCTTCCACAACATCTTCAACTTCTATAGGACTGGAGTTCTCTGGATCAAAGATGAATTGTGCCCACGCAATTTTTTGGAGGAGATCAACTACTGGGGTGTTCGTATCAAGAACACCCATCGCTGCTGCCGCATTTCGTTCGAGGAACGGCAAGATGAACTCAATGAACAGCTGAAGGTACAACGGGAACTCGAGGCAGAGGTGGAAACTGAGGAGCACGAGGACTTGTTTCAGGATATGGCTTTCGGTCATGCACGTTTCCTCATTTGGAACATGATGGAGAAGCCATTCTCTTCAGTCACAGCCAAGCTCATGGCAGTAGCATCCAATTTCTTCGTGCTGGTATCACTCGTGGCTATGACTCTCAATACGGTAGAGGGAATGCAGTATACAACGACCACCGGTCAGCTGAGTGGGAAGACCTACTGCGAGTATGTTGAGACTTTCTGCATTGCGTTTTTTACCATGGAATATCTGCTCCGGCTTGTGTCCACACCTGATCTCAAACATTTTGGAAGGAGCATGCTGAATGCTGTGGACCTGATTGCAATCCTTCCATTATATCTTCAGATGGCCCTAGAGTGTTTCGAGAACGAAGACTACGGGAAACATGGTAGCGATATCGAGACTGTAGGACGGGTGGGTAAATTGGGGCAAGTTCTCCGCATCATGCGTCTCATGAGGATATTTCATATCCTAAAACTAGCACGTCACTCGACTGGACTTCGAGCCTTCGGCTTCACGCTCCGGCAATAGGGCCTTTCACACCGCAGGAACCTTTTCATAGTACCAGAACTAATTGTGGAACTACCCACTTTTTGGCGTTTTCGCACAGCCGGAACTGGGTGCGATTTTAGTACCGGACTGCCTTTTTCGAGAACCAAATTAGCTCCTACTCCGGAGCAGGGTCTAACCAGCACAACTGGTACTAATCGTGACGCAAGTAGACATTGATTGGCCAAACGCGTACGAAAACCCCCTCCCCCGCCATGATTTAAAACGCCGTGTAAACATACTGTAAACATTGTGTCTTTTAAGAGTGTAACAGAAATTCCGATAGGAAACTTTAGCAGTTTTTGACTGATAGAGATAGCTTTGGTCATTGTTGGAGGGAGGGATGGGCCTCGGGGCCCAATGAAGATTTGCGTGAAGACTTTTAAGATAAAAGGGTGGAGGGTAGAGACATTTCACAGGTACTTGAGGGCACTGCTTGATCTCGGGGACGAAGGGGATCCATCTCCTGTCTTTCATATGCTAATCGCAGACAGTCTGGGAAGAAATATCCCCCACTATGCAATGTAAAGGTGTGACTCTGCGACCATCAGGGCTATTTGTTTATTCAGTTATGTTTTAGCTATATCTCAGTTGCTGTGTTGTACTGAAATCTATGTGATTGAATATGTTTCCCATAACATATTTGACATTTTCATTTGTTTTGTAATCGTGATCATATTATCATAATCATTTACTTCATGGTCTTTTTAAACGTCACTCCAACAAGAGAAAAGGGAAAACAATGTCTCATAAATTATGAATGAGAAGACTTGAAACCTACTATTGTAATTTTGTCTGACTAGTCCAGAAGTTTTTTGTTATGTATGTTTTTGTCAGAATCAAACACAGAACTTTTAGCAAAATGATCTTTACACCTCTACAAATTAATTTAGTTAATACTGATTTCATTTGATTGGTAACTTATATTCCTTATTCTACTTGTTCTTATTCTGTCGTTTTAATGAAAATTTTTTTAAAAGCTTATAAAATATAATTTTTTTAAGAATTTGACAAAAGATGACATACTTTTAATAAAGTTAGAGGAGTCAAATATCACCTTGTAATGGGAAGGCTACTTTTTGATAACATTTTGGATTATTGATTAGAAGGTGCTCCTAAAATTTTGAATGTGCTCCTAAATTTTTTAAGTTAGGAGCACAAGTGCTCCTAAAAAGAAAAGTAAGCGTAGAGCCCTGCACTGCCAGTTGTCGTTGGAGATTAGTCCTCCTTTCCGTTCTTTCAATCGCTTTACGTATACGTCGACTTTCCATGTCCATTATTGTGAAACCCGCGAGACACAACAAAAACACAGCTCCGATCACAGCGTCCTCCATCCTCCTGTTGTTAATGTTGTTGTTCTTTGTTTCTGTTGTTGAACGCCGCGCACAAATGACGACGCTGTCGACCGGCTTAAGTCACTTCTTAGTACACACTCTCGGTGCGAATGCAACCCTTTAAATGGTACTGGGAAATAGTTCGCGCAAAATCGTCCCAGTACTTTAGTACTGTACATTTAGTTCTGGAACTAAAGCGGTGCGAAAGGCCCTAATGTTACTAACAAGTGGGCTGTCTACTCCTGAGCAAGCTAATCAGTGTCTTCAGGATCATTAGAAAATCACAGGTAGGTGAGTTTGATCAGGGTTGGAGCTAAACTTTGCAGCGCATTGGCCCTCCAGGGCAAGATTTGAGGAACCCTGCCATAGAGCATGATGTGCATCAAACAAACTTCACCAGTATTCCACATGCATGGTGGTGGGCAGCTGTAAGTACATGTTTTTTCAAGTTTCATAGTACTGTGGTACTATGGTAAAGCGATTGTATCAGGTGATAATGCAGTGATGCTTTAGTACATACACCACGGTACTGGATGATTACCTGTATACTGTGGGATGTGCATGGCGCTCCAAGAACTTCTAATTATTATGATTATGCTTGTATATACATGGTACATGTACCATGAAAAATAATAAAATTGTAATATAATACTTTTCTCTTTCTGTAAAGTACTGACAGAACCACACTACCTGGTGTCTTTCTGCTAAAATGCTATCAAATGCTTCCTCACATCTGTGATAAGTCCAAGTGGAGTACTGCATCTATCGTCAAATGTGTCGCTTGCCAACTGTGTAATCCCATAATGCTCTTCTTAACTATTTATCTGTAAAGGGTTTTAGCTGTATTTATCTTTTTTTAAGTCTCAGAAGATTGTGGGTCATTAGTCATTTTACTGGCACGCTCAAGTATTCCTCATGCATTTCTTCCACAGGTGAGCATCTCCACTGTGGGCTATGGCGACATGTTTCCAGAAACTCCTCTGGGCAGGATTTTTGCATTTGCGTGCATCTCATTTGGAATTATTCTCAACGGCATGCCAATCTCCATCCTGTTCAATAAATTCTCAGACTACTATTCAAAGCTGAAATCCTATGAATACACCGCCTCTTTGAAGAATCGCGGGAAAGTGAGGTTTGTGAAAAGGGCTGCAAAGAAGTTGTCAGAATGTTTTTAGGTTGCCATGTGCTGACCTACTCTTTCCACCAACGGACTGATTTTTAAATTATGGACTTGGTGGTGGTCTTTTCAAAAACTTCAAACCAACCAGACCAATTAAGTAACTGTCTTCAAACAAATTAGCCACTGCTTGCTTTTGTGCTGCTGGATACATGCATATTGAGGAACTTTTGTACTATAAACAAAAGTAAATTTTTTTTTTTAAACGAATCAACGCATTTAGGCTGCTCTAACAAGGATGCCATTAATAAATACTTGCCTTGGCACAACAATTTAATTGTACGAGATCATTTGTTTATTGCTATTACGTTATGGAACAGTAAAAATTTTTTTTTTTTTACAATGTCATTAAAAATAACCATTGCTAATACTATGGGCAATGTTAAAACAAAAGGAAGTAATCCAGGGTAGACAAACACTGCTTCAAATAATCAGTTGAAGGTTTTAACATCTGGCTGAGCACAAGCTCGGCTTCAATACTTTTTTTTATATCTATATATAATTTTGTATAGACATTTGTGTAAATTTTAATCAAAAGCCAATTTATGATTTACATCAACTGGTTTCCAGTGGAAGCACTCTGAGCAGGACAGATTGCAAAGAGATTTCCTAGAAGATTAACTTCTGTATTGGCAGGGCTATTTGGCAAAATCTTACAGTGCTTTAAAAGAAATTCAGAACTGACATCCTCACTACAATAGCTTGGTGTTATGTGACAATTACACAACCCTGCCCAAACTTGACTTAATAAAAGGTGGCCATTGTGACATCCTTAAGAACGTAGACAACTACAGTGTAATTCACTCTGAAAAGCACATTCATGCAGGCATTGATAATCCTTGAAAGATTAATCCTTGGGGATCATTGAAGTCCCAAGGACAGATGGAAGTAGAGTAGGGCAACAAAATTCATTTTCAAGCATGCATACATGCCTCCATATTCAAAGCTACCTTTTTATATTTTATGTCTATAATTTTTACTTTGAGTTGAAATTACCCTTTTAACATCTTTATTTTAAAAAAATAAAGATTTTATTATTTCTATTATTATTATTATTTAAATACAAGCTGACCTAAAATATACTTCAAAAGTAAGTCATTCAGAATCTGCATGAAATTTGCTGCAACACTTTATGAACAAATCTCACATAGAAATCTCTGGATTGTATTTCACCCCAAAAATCAAAAGAAAAAAAATTGATAAAAAGAAACATGTCTGTTATGATTTTATTGCATGTTGACAATTTAATAAAAAATTAAGCACATTTTCTGCTAAATCACCTTGTCTTTGACAGTTTTTTAAATCAGCATATATTAATTGTACAAAAAATATATAATGCATTAATAGCATTTCTGTCCACATTACTGCATCATTTGCTTAACTTTCATGAAAATGTCTTTAATGAATTTTGAGGTGAAATATAACCTGGACATCTTCTTGATTGGTTTCATGAGATTAAAAAGAGAAATAATAAAAAAGAAATAAAAACTCAGGTTCAGGTATTTTTGTGAGTGTGTGTTCTGTATTTACATACATCAGCATATAAATTCACAATTAAAAATCCAAAGGAAAGAAAAAAACTAACAAAACAAAACTGATTTGGCAGATCAGGCCAGTTTTTCAAGCAGAACCTCAACTCCTTTCGAGTTCTGGACCTTCTGTAGTTCAGGAAGGATGGATTTCAGCATAACTTTCACTTCTTCAGCAACACTTTCATCTGCACTTTGGAGAAGGCTGTGGAAACACAATGAAAACCAAGCAGCTGAAACTTCAATCAAATACAATCAGCCAATGCACAGATCCACTCAAACGTTAAACATGTCTCTGCATACAGCAGGGGGTTCAATTTTTTATATATTTGGTGGGAAAAATTACATCCGAATAAACAAACAGTCCAGGCTAAAAATATAAAGAAACAAATCTCTCACTGCTTAAAGTCTTAGGGAGATTATAAGAGGTCATGCACAAAGACCCATAATCCTTTGCGGCATGTAACTCAAGGGCTTGTCTGCATCAATGGCAGCTGGGAGCCAGAGTTTAGTCCTTTATTAGCATACAGACAACAGTAGAGAATAATGAAGCAGGACTGTGGAAGATGTGCTTAACCTAAAGCTCACTGTAGGGAATTCCTCCAGCTAATAATCGTGCTTTAAAAGACAGCATGATGGAAAAGCAGCGAATTTGCTGTGATAGAGAGCTTGGGATGTCACAGGATAAGCGCTTTTGGAGGCTTTGTAAAGTAGGGGCTTTAAACATGAATGACTGCACAGAGATGTTCTTCTGTGTGTGTTCAGTGTATTTAACCAGCGCTCACAGAACAATGGCTGCTGTGGTATGTTTACACCCACCAATTCAAAAGCAAGTTTTCTATCTTACTAGAGTGCATAAAAGGGAGTGTATTTTGTTATTTTTAGATCCGTTCATTTGTGAAGGTTATAAACTTACCAACAAAGAACAATGGCACCACGGTTGACTGAAGCCCACGTCTTGAGGTTCTCCAACCCCACCTTCTCCAGAAGAATCCTGGAGAAACGCTCTGGGGAATAAAATAAGGCAGGACAGGCCAGTAAATCATTGGTTCGCATTGGAAAACTGCTCAATTTGTTTTTATTAGTTTACATAAAGAAAATGACTTCTATGAATAGAAAAGGACATTCAAAAGTATCCTCAAAAATCCCATCAAGCTTTGACATTTTGTACTTGCCTTCTCTCTCTGCCTCCTTCATCTTAGCATCCTGCTCGATCAACCATTTCAACACCAGATGACCAGCGGGGTGCTCTGCCATATGAAGCTACAGGAAACAATTATTAATCCATTAGCTTAAAAAACAAAAAATTTCAACCCTGTAATGTTTTAAATATTTCTACAAAAAAAAATAAAAAAATAGCAAGACTTTCGAATAAAGTCCCATTAGTTAATGCATTAACTAACATTACCTAACAATGGGTAATACATTTGCATCAGTATTTATTCATCTTTGTTATTGCTAGATAATAAAAATACAACCGTTTATTGTTAGTTTAACTCTGGACCATTAAATATCAAAAATATGGTCATGCAGAATAATGCATTAATATGTTCTTTATAAGTACTAATAATGCATGCTAATAAGCAAGTAGTTAATAGTGAGAACTGGCCCCTAAAGTCTCATAAAAATACATTTTGAAATTAAGATGAACAAATGCTTTAAAAGTATTTTTCATTGTTAGTTTATAACACAATTCATTTTGTGCCATGAATGCAGCATTTTTTAAGTAAGGGATAATGTACATCCAGCCGGTTATTCTGAGATAACAACCGGCTGGATGTACATTATCCCGCTTATTACACGGCTAAAAAGATTTGTTTTTACCATATATGTTGAAATTAATGCTGAAGTCTTCCATTGTAACACGCGGTGGTTAAGTGTTTTCAGTCACAAGATGGCGCCAGACAGTCAACGGTAGCAGAGTGACTCGTTAAACATAAGTAGTACCGGTCAAGATAACTCGTAGTACCCGGATGAGCGGGGTGTTATTCAATTTGGCGGTTGTTATCTGGGAATAACATACCGCTGGATGGCGCGATTGACCAATCAGAATCAAGTATTCCACAGAGCCGTGTAATAAATGAAGATAATCTTATTTAAAAATAAACTCGACTGAATGAATGAATGAATGAATGGTGGATCCAAAGTAACACATTAATACTGCTATTACTGACAATACTGCAGGTATCTTCAGCATCAGGTGTGAGACACCTGTAGATGAGTTACCTGGCCTTCTCCTCCCGGTATGAGGGGTTCGGCTGCCAGAGCCGCCACAGCCTCCATGGCAGGTCTGAGATCTCCGATGGCGGCGCCCAGGATGTCACTCACAGCCACACTACAGGCTTTATCCATGACCATAGACTGAGCGTTCTCACACAGGTACTTCAGCAGAGGAGGAGACACGGCCTCCAGCAGCTCCGTCCTCCTGATCGCGACATCCTTCTTACTGTAGGAGAAAATACTTAGTAGTGCACTTCTTCATTCTTTTTTTTTTTCATCTGACACCGTGGTAGGGCTGCGGTTGGCACTTATGACCCAAATGCAGTACATGTCAATAGAAAAGAGGACATACCTGTGTGCATTGCCGTCACCTTTCTTAAGCACCTGAATGATCTCAGGTAAGAAATGGGCAGGGTCTCTTGGGCTCAGCATGTAAAGCAGCACCTTTTTACCATATTTATTGCCGATTACTTCAGATAAGCAACTAACCATTTCCTGAGAGCAAAATAAGACAAAAAAATTTCTTAAATCATCCAAATATTAGAAATAATAATAACTAGATAAAGTTTGTCAAGACAAACTTTAGGTTGGCTTGAGAAAGCCTAGCCTGAAAGTTTAAAGGTGCAGTGTGTAAATTTTAGCGGCATCTAGCGGTGAGGTTGCGAATTGCACCCAACGGCTCAGTCCCCCGCTCACCCCTCCCTTTAGAGAAGCTACGGTGGCCGATACAAGATTAAGATGTCGTCGGTAAAGACAGCAGAGAGCAATGAGGTTTCTTTACAAAGGTATATTAAGGAATTATATTTGCTTAATTATTTAATAAATCGATCTTATTGCAAATATTAATGTACTTGTTCATCATTGTGTCAGTGTTTTATTCGCAAGAACAACAAAGTGACGAAACGCGCTGTGTAGAGCAGTTTGTCCGTTTAGGGCCACTGTAGAAACATGGCGGCGACTTCCATGTAAGGGGACCCGCGGTGTATGTAGATATAAATTGCTCAATCTAAGGTAATAAAAACATAACGGTTCATTAAGTAAGGTCTTTATACACCTCTGAAAACATAGTTATGTATATTATATTGCATTTCTGTCAATAGATCGATGTAAATATTACACATTGCACCTTTAAAGCAGTTGTAAATTTGGAAAATTTAGATAGATTAGATGTTGATAACATGTTTCTAGCATGATTAGCCTGTTAGCATATTGCTGGCTTAGCAAGTTACTAGCATGTTTCTAGCAAGATTAGCATATGATTAGCATGTTGCTAACATGACTAACAAGTAACTAGCATGTTGTTAGCATGATTAACACGTTACTAGCATGTCGCTAGCATGATTAGCAAGTAACTAGCATGTTGCTAGAATGCTTCTAACATGATTAGCATGCTACTAGCATGTTGCTAGCATGATTAGCAAGTGACTAACATGTCGCTAGCATGTTTCTAACATGATTAGCATCTTACTAGCATGTTTCTAACATGATTAGCAAGTGTCTAGCATGTTGCGAACATGATTAGCAAGTTACTAACATGTCGTTGGCATGTTTCTAGCATGATTAGCAAATGACTAGCATGTCGCTAACAAGATTAACAAATGATTAGCATGTTGCTAACATCACTAGCAAGTAACTAGCATGCCGTTAGCATGATTAGCATGTTGCTAGCATGATTAACATGCTACTAGCATGTTGCTAGCATGATTAGCCAGTTACTAGCATGTCGCTAGCATGTTTGTAACATGATTAGCATGTTGCTAGCATGTCGCTACCATGTTTCTAACATGATTCTAACCCTTTTTCAAGCCAACCTAATAATACTAAATAACATATAAACCACCAACCAATAAAGAAAAAAGTAAAGAGCACTTACTGAGATGATAATTTGTTTAACCAACTTCGTGTCATCAATGCAATCGAATGCAGCCAATAGTACAAGATGAGCATATTCACCCTGAAAATACATAAATATATCTTATTTTTACTGCCTTAAAACATTTGATGGACTGAAAAATTACAACACATTATTTAGGTGAATCTCACGAAATCTGTCATTTATGTGTCTAGGTCATATTTCCCCCTGAAAATCTAATTAAAGCAGTAATGATAATTTGCTTATATATATATATATATATATATATATATATAAACACACATACATATATATTATTTATAATCCAGACTTCTGTGAGATTCACCCATTCATAGACTGTACAGATAAGAAAGGTAGCTTACCATTGCAAACTTTGCAATGTATGATTT